AAAATGTCAATATCTGTCACTAATTTGATTTATAACTGACACAAGATGCTTTTGTTGTGATTTTACGATTTGATTTTCTTTTGATTTTTCGAATTATTGTACCGGGTGTCCCACTAAGAATAGCTCTCGGCTGTATCTCGGAAAGTATTAGCCGTAGGGGCTGCGGAAAAAAATATTTATAACTAAAGAGGCTATGAGAAATTGGTGGAAATTATTTTCAAGTTTGTAGAACTACCGCTAGGTGGCGCAACTGCAACAAAAATTAAGAAAATGGAGTTTTTACACAATTTTACCTAGATAAGGTGTATTATAAATAATAGCTTCATAATCTCCAGTAAATTTTGAATATTTCTTGTTAGAGCTATTTTCCTCTATCTACCAAAATAAAGTGGTGGGGGAAGGTTAGATCTGTTTTAATTTAAATATTAATAACTCTGGACTGGTTGATCGGAATCCAACAAGCGAGGACTCGTTTAAAAGAGCGTTTCTTACTCTATATTATACCATATAAACAGTAATAATAAGCTTTTGAACATAGACGCTAGGGGGTGTTGTCTTACAATTTAACAAATATTGCGTATTTTTTCAAAAAAATTAAATACAATAGTATATGTAATTTTAGCTGATCGGAAATAGTAGAAAAAGCTTAAAAAGTCAGCGAAAACCGCATCTTGATATCTTCTTTCAAACCGAAGATATTAGCAAAATTATAATAAATACCAAAAAATAAGCCCTCTCCACATTTTGATAGCCTTAGCAGCGTTTTTTATTGCTTTATTATTTGAAGTAGTTGAAGTTGTTGGCATTTTGAAAAAGCAATCAAAAGATAAAAAATAACGCTGCTAAGAATATCAAAATGTTGATCTAATAACAATTTGACGTTTATACTATTACGTCAAAAGCAACTTTTTTCCAAAGCCTACCATGACTTCACTGAATCATTTTCTTGTCCACTGTTATTAATATCTTAATTATTAGATATTAATACCTCTGGTATTATGGTATTCTGGTATTTCGTCGATTTTAAAATAAACTAACTGTTTCTATCTTATTTTTTGTTAGAATGGGCATAAACAAGAGGGCTACTGATACCGTGTTGTAAAAATAAGGTAATTAAAGGCTTATTTTTTGGTATTTACTATAATTTTGCTAATATCTTCGGTTTGAAAGAAGATATCAAGATGCGGTTTTTAATATCAAGATGACTTTTTAAGCTTTTTCTACTCTTTCCGATCAGCTAAAATTACATATACTATTGCATTTAATTTTTTTGAAAAAACGCGCAATGTTTTTTAAATTGTAAGTCAACGCCCCCTAGGGTCTACGTTCAAAAACTTATTATTATTGTTTATATGGTATAATATAGCGTAAGAAACGCTCTTTTAAACGAGTCCTCGCTTGTTGGATTCCGATCATCCAGTCCAGAGTTATTAATGTTTAAATAAAAACAGATCTAACATTCCCCCACCACTTTATTTTGGTAGATAGGAGAAAAGGGCTATAACAAAAAATATTCAAAATTTACTAAAGATTAAGAAACTATTACTTATAGTACACCTCATCTAGGCAAAATTGTATAAAAACTCCAATTTGTAATTTTTTGTTGCAGTTGCGCCCCCTAGCGGTCGTTCTACAAACTTGAAAATAATTTCCACCAATTTCTCATAGTCCCTTTAAGTATAAATATTTTTTTCCGTAGGCCCTACGACTATTACTTTCCGAGATACAGCCGAGAGCTATTCTTAGTGGGACACCCTGTACAATTAAATTCCTAACTTCAGATTTTTTGGCAGTATTCTGTTTTATACAATATGAATCAAGAAACGTTTGTTTTATTTCTTTATATTTCTTTATATTTATTACTCGAAGAGGCGGTACGGGAGAAGTTAAATAATGTCGTGTGAGCATTTGTTGAAATAACTTAAAGTGGATGTAGTAATATTAGTTTTTTAAGTTTTAATTTGTTTAATAAAACAAAATGAAAATAACCGTTTAACAAAACTTTCTATAAGTTTTTCTGCATAGCATAAGAATACCATGCCAACTAAGTGAAATTATGCAAAAAAGATAAGAATTGGCTATAAGTCAGTAATTTTTCGAAAAAAAATATTATAAAGAAACATATAAGTTATATCAAAACATATTATAGCCTATATCCGAAAGCTTAAAAAATTGCGCGTTACGAATTCCATTAAAAAGATATTTGTTTGTACGATATAGGGGTGTATCCAGGCTGCATCTAGTAAACCATAAACTTTTTCAAAAATCCGATATTTGACCTTACAAAACTGCAATTCTTTCCCCATTTAACCGACTCTCCAGCTCCATCAGTAATTTCCGAGATACCCATCAAGAACATCGTAGAACACTCACCCCGTATAATATTTTAGAAAAAGATTGCTCATCTAATATTTCCCTGATTTTAATCGAAATTTATCAAACGAATAGAATAAAATTAATCTGATATGTATGTACAGTTCATATAAAGAATACTTACTTTGTAGATTAGATCTTCAAGACATTAGGTAGTCAAGAATCGTCCTGCCGTCCATAAATAAAACATACAGTGTTAAGCTACTTTCGGTTTTTTATTCGAAGGGAAAGTAAAATTCGGCCGATTCAATTAGACCAATAAAAAAATGAAAGTGAGCAGAGAACACTGCTGTAAATTTGCGATCAACTCCGAGACGGTGTAGGTCTTGTACCCAAACAGTGTAGAATAAAGAGTCAGAAAGATTTTATAATATGGCAGCTTTACTCCGGGATGAGAGAAATAAAAGTATGTTTTACTGTGACCTGTACATATACAATATATTAGTAATGTTGGTTTTCGTTACTTTTGATCTGATTTTTTTGATTTTCGTTACTTTTACTCGTTACTAATCGTTACCCGAGTACTAAGTAATAATTTCAAATATTCGTTACTTTGATTACTATGATTACTTTTTACTGATTTTGGTACTGCTGTCAACCTTTGTGCCTAATTTCACCTGCTTAAGGGACATATTTTTAAAAATAGATTCTTAGTACCCACATTTTTCATTTTACGTTACCTAAAGAACTTCTACGAAAAATGTCATACTTCTAAAACTCATTTTAACAAATTTTTGAGACAACTTTCACCCCTTATTCCACCCTCTTAGGAGGTAAGTTTCCAAAAAAATAATCGCTTCTAAGTACTCACTTTCGCCACTTAAGAAACTCCTATAGAAAATATACCCTACGACTAATTTTAAAAAATTATATATAAAATTTCACCATCAGTTTTACCCCCTTATTTATACTAACCTTTGCGATGAAGCTGGAGGGAAACCCCCTAGCAACACTGGGAACATTAACAGTGCATCACACAGTGGATGTTCCAAGGGACCAACCCCAAAGGGAACTGCAGGAGAGGCAGTTGACACTTACGCGAGACCAACCTCCAAAACAAGTATAGCACAACAGTATACCACACTACCACCTCCTCTAGTAAGGGTTGGGAGTCTACCTCTAGACTCAACAGGCTACATAAGCTACCATTTCCTCTACCCGGCCTGGATCAACCAGGCGGGCTAGACGATCCGCTAAGAGTAGATCTCAGCGAAGCAGGAGTATGGAGATGCATCCAACTGATCCACGAAGGATTTGCTCTAAAGGAAGCAAAAGGAAAAACACGTACTCCTCGAAAAATGAACCGAGAAACAGCCTGGCGCATCTCCACTAAAGGGCAAGTAATAAATAGTAATAAATATATGTAGATATCAGACTATTCATATATTCAACTCTTCACTGATAGAATGTATTTCTCCGTCCATTTGACAGAATCTGCACATAGTTTTGAAACATACCTATTGACAAAGTTTACATAATTAAAATATTAATTCTGTAAACTTTGTTGTTGAATTTGCTGAGAATTTTGCTGTCTAGTTATCAGGTCTTCCGTAAATTATGGAGAGTGTTCTACGATCATGAACTGCTTACTGCTTGGACTGCCTGTGAAAAGCCAGCCCTTGGTCTCCTGGTAAATGTTTCTAAAGATTTACTTGTCTGTCATTATTTCGTAGTAATTTTTTTTTTTAATAATTACTGTCGCCAAATGGCACTCAAAATTAATAATGTACCAATAAATCTGTACGGAAAGCATATTTGCGCCCTTTTAGTAGAAGCAAAAAATATTTAACTAATATTCTCTGGTTTTGGATAATACCTTTTTATACCGATATTTACTAATAAAACTATATTTTTTATATTATAGTTTTTATTCTAGCTAACCGTAGAATATAAAGTGCATATTATAATACATATCTTCAAAAACAATGGCATTAGTATGTTTATTGTAGATTGTAGCATTTGCAGTTTCAAACTTGGAAATGTGGAGTGAGATATATCATATACTGTATTTTAAATATATTATATTAATGCAAAAAAATATTAAAAAAATATGGTAAGCATTGCCATCTAGAGAGGTAAGTGATAACTTAGTTAATACCGTAGAAATCTGTAACCAGAAAAAGACGGAGAAGTTCTAATTAGAACTTCCAGATGGCAGCACTAGGCAAATACCCTCGCGCCATCTCTAATACTAAAGCGTCCTTATTTTTCATTTAAATACAAATAATACAAGCAAGTTAGATTTCTTATCAATAGATGTCACAGTATTTATAGAACTAATTAATTTTTAAAATACCTACTAATTAATAAAAAAAGAAACACATTTGGAACTTTGATTTGGGACTATTATAGCTTGGAATATATATTATACAATTATTACAAAAAGGTTAGTTTAACAGAATTTATTGAAAAACTATACTTTCTATTAAATAAAATGAGGTATAGTTTTATGTAAATCTTCATTAATTCATAGGAGAATATTTTTTTATACAATGTAATGTCTATTATTTAAGATCTATAAATTAAAAAACTCTTTTTAGATTATTATAACTTGGAATCTATATACAAAAAGGGTAGTTAAACATAAATTATTTAAAAAATATACTTTTTATTAAATAAATAAAGAATGATTTTGAGCAAATTTTTATTAGTTCATTATAGAAATAAAGCATACAATATATGTATAAGGACCATTTTAATATCTAGGAGGTTGGGTTTCCTGGTTTTGATTTACATTTCCTTTATTTTGGTTTTCTTCGTCTCCGTTTCCGCCCCTTCTTTTTCTACAACTAAGCAAAATAAAATAATTTAGGTACTCCAAATGAGAAGAAAAATCATCTATCTTGCTTTATTTTAAGGATTTAGTGAAATAGAGATTTATATCATGTGTAAATCTGACAGTTATATGAAAGTGCTTCATGTACAAATATTAACAAAAAAAAGGTGTTCATTCATTCAACGTATCATATAAAGAGTTTTATAACAAAAAATTGACATATGATATGTCATTCTATTCAGAGTGTCATTTTCTATCGAACAAAGTATAAAAATACCGAGGGTGTCATTTAAAAATCAAAAGTTTTGTAATATCATTTTCGCTGAAACAGGAAGTGACCATGCAAAAACAACTGAATACGTCAATCCCTCCTAATTTATGTCATATTACACTAACATACCAAATCTGTTTTTTTTTTATCCGTAAAATCACAGATAACACATAATATTATATGTTTATATTTATATTATATGTTTATATTTATATTATATGTTTATATTATATTATATGTTATCTGTGGTAAAAGTAAAAAAGTTATAGGGTTTTTATAGTTAGCCACTTTTGAGACACACCAGGGTAGAGTTTAAAATTTTATAAGATCGTAGTTATGATGAACAATGATGACACCAATGAATGACACATCTATCTGTATAAAGCTAAACATTTTTAATTAGATATATTATTTGTTACATTAATAAGGTTCAATAATATTTAAAGAACAAAAACTTACTTGATACTTCTGCACCAATAATATACTGCAATTATTAACACCACAAATGCAAGAGTTAGGCATATGACAACTGTCAGCTCAATACGTTTCTCTTGAGGAACAGCATTTGTAAAACTTATAATACCTACAAAAATAGCTAAGAAAATTACAGGAAACATGTTGTACCTACTACATCGGAAAAATTGTGATTGATCCCCCAATTGAATTGGTGAATTTCAATTTCCCAATAGCCACTGTTTCTTGAAAATGCAGAAATGCAATTTATTATCAGATAAGATAAATTTTTATTTACTGATTAGAGATTAGACAAAGTTTTGCTTATAATACAATAGAATCAAAAACATAACATTTTTTTTTTGGATTGTGTTTATTAGCCGACATATCTTGATTATGGCATAAACATTTGTAATACTTGACTTACCATAAAATGCTAGCAAAAGTTATTATAAAATCAAAAACGTTGGATGGTCTATAATACATATGAAGGGTCCAGGGAAAAAACATGATAAACGCCATTTTACTAATTTTACAGGAGAGCACTGGACGGCTGGTGGTTATCAGGTTCTTTCCGTGTATTCTATATTTTTACTAAGCATATACAGGGTGGTCCGAACTCTATTCCGGAAACTTCGGCAACATATTCTGCAGATAAAAATAAGTAAAAAAGTTCGTATAAATGTATGTCCGAAAATGTTTAGTTTTGGAGATACAGGGTTTATCTCCATATAAGCTGTGATATAAGTTTCATTTTTATTTCGATTTTTTCCAAATAATTTCTGAAGTAACGTTAATATTTGGATGAAAATTGGTATCTGGAAGTTTTTTGACATGAGAAATTTGATTTTGATAATAGAAGATTATTTTCTTTTATCTATGATTTTGATGTCATTATGACTCTTATTTGTAGAGGGCGCCACTTACATGTGTTTCAACCTTAGACAAGGAAAGAGAGGGGACAGCTAACACGTATATTCTCCAGTGAAAAATTTTTGAGGCCAAAATTTGATCGGCGGCCATACTTTGGTGACAAGATTTCGAGGTGACACCAAACGATTTTTTATGTGTTTTTGTGAATACTGTTTTGTTTTAAATTTATAAACTGTGTTGTTTAGTATGGTGAGATGTTCAGCGTATGGCTGCAACGGCTGAAGCGAGAAAACAATGACTGGAATTACATTTTACAGGTAAAAGTTGATAAACAATTTTTGCTATGTAGTCATAAAATGTACATTCTTTTCATTATAGCAGTAGAAATATGTAAAATGCTTTTAATATGTCTTATACCACATCCAAAGCAAACTATTTTTATTAATTCCAAGTAGTATTTTCAATATCCTATATTATAATTAATGTTTGAAACTATAAATAATGCTACTCAGATTGGATTTCTCCAGTGGCGTAGGATATTATATTCAGAGAAATACAATTTCTGCAGTAAATTTTTTTTTTATATATTTTACATGTACAAAAAATGTATAAAGTATTGTTATCAAATATGTAAAATAATAATTGTAAACTATAAAAAAAAACATGAAAAAGTTTGGTTATAAAAAATCTATATGAATAGTTGTTACATAAAACTTAAATTTACCTGCCAAGATTTGCTGGGGAGGGACAAACTTGTGGTGGGCTACTGGTTACAATATTTTTTTAAATATCATTTCAAAAAATTTGCTATTTTAGGTATATAATAATAGTTTCAGTGAGTAATTAATAAAAATTTAAAAATAAATAAAATAACACAAAGCTTCTAGAATTGTTTATTTTTTTCTTAAAATTAGGATAATCTTATGATTGAAGGTAACAAATATTAGAAATTACATTATTCATTGAATCCGTAGGCAAGTGCGAAGGGGATTGGCTAGATTCATTATTATACGGTATGATCGAAAAAAAACGGCGTCCAGTTGGCTTGTAAATGACTGTCGATGACATTCCTCTCAGTCTTTTTTCGATGTCATTTTATATAATTTTTATGTCATTTTATATGTAGAATTATATGGGGAATGTCATCGATCGTCATTTCCAAACAAACAGGATGCCGTTGTTTTTCGATCATACGGTATATATGTATATACACGTTTAAAACACATATATTTGCATTATTTTTTATTTAATTATACAATATACACACATTAATAAATAAATAATTGTCTTGATGATCAGTTCACTGTGATTGTTAAATTTGTTATTATCGGCTTAGATATTCTAATATTATAAAGGTGAGACTATAAAATACAAAATTGTATATGCATTACTCAAAAATAACGATATACTAGTTAACGTTTTAATAAATATTTTTTATCGTCTAGATACAAGCTAATTTCTGCTGCTACGCCATTGGAGAATTTCAAGTGGTGACAAGTGGCCTCACTTTCAGCTGCCTTGTTACCTGTCCCCTCTCTTTCCTTGTCTAAGGTTTCAACTATTCTGAAGAGTAATGACTTTTCGTCCGTGCCTGTATAAAACTACTGAGTGAAAAAATATACATTTCCGTGATTTTTACGTAAACAATGTCTCTTGGTAAAAATCGATACGAACAACCGTTCTAAAGATATTTAGAATGGAAATAGTCAATACATGTCATTATTGACTAAAAATAAACATGTTTGTTGAGTTGGTTATATGATAGTTATTTGACTGAAATTATAAATTTGGAAACTTTTTAAAGTTATTACACTTCAACCCAGTTAAAAATTATATAGGTGGTGCCCTTTACAAGTAGGAGTCATATTGACATCTAAATCAAATTTTTCATGTCAAAAAACTCACACCAATTTTCATCCAAATATTGTTTTGTTGCTTCAGGAATTATTTAGAAAAAATCGAAATAAAACAGACCCTTCTACACCCTGTATCTCCAAAAGTAAGCCATTTTAGGACATACATTTATACGAACTTTTTCACTTATTTTTATCTGCAGAATATGGTGCCGAAGTTTCCTGAATACAGTTCGGACCACCCTGTATATAATAGGATTTAACAACTTATTGTCCTGCAGAATTTATACATTTTGTAGAGACCAATTAGACCTACTATAATATTGTAAAATCTTAAAATTAAGAAATTGGCGTTTATCATGTTTTTTCATATGTATTGAAAAGCAAAAAGTGATTGTATATCAATATGTCGATTTATTGAAGTGTAAAATAATGACAATAACAACACATTAATTACTGTGAAATTCAGTCTTTATTTGAAGATATAAAAAATTACAAATAAATATAATGATCCTTAATAACATACGTATTTTTAAATAAAAAATGAACTGAAGCAACTAGCAAACTGAAACACATTATGATCAGAACAAAAAGTATGATGAACTTCATGTTTTATAACAATTCCTTGACTAGTCATTGACTCTAAATTTATTTCAACACAATAGTTTGCAAGCAAAGGCAGTGATTGTGTTATTTTTTAGAAGTCTAAACTGTTTTTATGTATTCTTCCGATTTAAAAGGGTTAATAAATAACAAACTAATAAAGAAATACATCAATTATTTCAATCGTTGATAAGAGTCTCAGTACTTTGATTGTTAAATCTGTTTCTGAGCTATCAATTATATTTAAAATAAATAAAAAAAAACGTTTTTTTTAATTTAAAACTACTGTTCATTTATCTGATCAGTATTATCTAAATGATCTAAGTTTAAGTTGATATACAGTCTTCTTTCTCTTATTTTTGTATCAATAAAAAATAAACTTAGTAAACTTTGATCACTTAAATTATTTCAATCAACATCAGCGTATTTTAATTTTATACTCTTTTAGAAGTTTTAGCAGTTAAAATCGTCTCCGGCAGGCTCTTCCTCTGCTTCATAGTCATCATCAGCTGTGGCTTCTTGATACTGCTGATACTCTGATACCAAGTCGTTCATGTTGGATTCAGCTTCGGTAAATTCCATCTCGTCCATACCTTCTCCGGTATACCAATGCAGGAAAGCCTTACGCCTGAACATGGCAGCAAATTGTTCGGAGATTCGCTTGAATAGTTCCTGGATAGCCGTTGTATTGCCTAAAAAACAAACAAAAAAATAAATATATAACTTATTTTATACAGGGTGGGTCTTAATATATGTGCAAATATTTTAGGGGTAGTATATTTCGACCCCAGAAACACGATTATGAGGATTTTTTCGCGAAAATTTTTTTTGGAAAATTAGGAATTTTTTGAAAAGATTTTTGGATTTTTTAAAATAATTTTTAGTTAAAAAAACATAATTTCTTGATAATATGGCAACATAGGTAGTAGATTGTAAATTTACAAGAAAGAAAACACAGAAAAGATCCAGTGGTTCTCAAAATTGAAGCAAAAAACATACTTTTTTGGAAATTTTCAAAGTAAAATAACACGGTTATTTTTAACTTATTTGAAAAACGGTAAAGAGAAAATATGTTTCTTTTATCGAGATCGACCAGCCCTGAAAATATTTGCACTTATTTAAAACTCACACTGTATATACAGGTTTACAGGCAAAAAAAACAATTTTAACCAAATTTGCCACAAAAATACTGTGGCACCCGAAAATCTGGCTATTAGTTTCTTGTGAGGGTGGGGGATTGGTAGGGGGGTATGGGAGGGGGTTAAATTTTAAAAAATCGTAACTCCAAAATTACAATAGCTAGCGAAACGCGGTTTTCAATTTAAGATTAGGAATAATATTTGCAACAAAATTTGTAACAATATCAAAATAATATCAAAAAGATAAAAAAAATTGTAAAAATTCCTTTACTTTGAAACTAAAAGAACTGCCTACCACCTTTTTATTAACGTATTTTAATATGGGCGGCTAAACGTGCTTCCCGCCGTCAATTTTTTCTTATAGGGGCCAGATTTGATTTTACACATCGAAATAGATTAATTCATAGCGATTCTAACGAAATAAAACAAATTATACATAGTGGCTTTGAACCTTCAATAACTTGTAAAAATCGTTTTTTAATAGGTGGCTTTAGGCAATGAAAATGTGCTTTTACTTTTGGGATACCTTTTAAAATAACGTCAGAAACAAATAAAATCGAAATCTTCGATTTTTCTTGAATATCTCCGGGGTCAAATTTAAGTTATCCTGTATAGCAAATTATAGTTCTGCCATTTAAAAAGATAAAGGTCATAAATTAATAATATATTACCTATAAATGTGGAAGACATCTTCAATCCAACTGGTGGAATATCACAAACTGCCGTCTTGACATTATTCGGGATCCATTCGACGAAGTAACTGCTGTTCTTATTTTGCACGGCCAACATTTGTTCATCTACCTCCTTCATGGACATCCTACCTCTAAAAACTGCAGCCACTGTGAGGTACCTTCCATGTCTCGGATCGCAAGCAGCCATCATGTTTTTGGCATCAAACATTTGCTGGGTTAGCTCAGGCACAGTCAAAGCCCTGTACTGTTGACTTCCTCTGGAGGTCAAAGGAGCAAATCCAGGCATGAAGAAATGGAGACGAGGGAATGGAACCATATTGACAGCTAGTTTTCTTAAATCGGCATTTAACTGACCTGGGAACCTCAGGCAGGTGGTAACTCCAGACATCGTGAGAGACACGAGATGGTTCAAATCGCTATAACTAGGATTTGGTACTTTAAGGGTTCTAAAACATATATCATACAGGGCTTCATTATCGATACAGTAAGTTTCATCGGTGTTTTCTACGAGTTGGTGGACAGACAAGGTAGCGTTATAAGGTTCGACAACTGTATCAGACACTTTAGGACTAGGCATGACTGAATAAGTGTTCATGATTCTATCAGGGTACTCTTCTCTGATCTTCGAAATAAGCAGTGTACCCATACCAGATCCAGTGCCGCCTCCTAGCGAGTGTGTTAGTTGGAAACCTTGCAGACAGTCGCAGTTTTCGGCTTCTTTTCTTACTACATCTAGGACTGCATCTACCAGTTCGGCGCCTTCGGTGTAGTGTCCTTTGGCCCAGTTGTTTCCAGCACCAGATTGACCGAAAACGAAATTATCAGGTCTGAAAAGCTTGCCGTATCGACCCGATCTGACTGCATCCATGGTACCGGGTTCGAGGTCCAGTAGTATGGCTCTGGGTACGTATTTGCCTCCATTTGTACTTGATGCAACTAAAATACAAAATATTAGATATTATTGTTAGTTTTAAGTAATTTATTGACTATTCGTAACAATGGTATAATGTCTTATGGAATAAATGATTGATTGATTGATTAGAATTACAAAATTTAGGTTTTATTTTGTTTATCTAATCAATTATTCAGGAGGATCAAGATTTGTTTTATCACATATCTTTATTGGCATATTAAATATTTACAACATGCTCTTTAAATTTAAATGAAAATATATCATTTGAGTTAGAACATTTAGTGATACAGTAGAAAATTACAGAATTCTATCGGCTTAGAAGGTTTACCGAATGTACCTACCAATCTGGTCCAACCAGTCATAAAAGATTACGATAGACAACATCCCAAAAAAGACAGAAAATATAATTTACTTATCAATTAAAATAACAGATACATCTGTCACTGTCGTGAATCACTCATTGTCATTTTACAAACAATAAATGTTATAAATAACGTATTGTGTATTACATTTACATATTATTATATATTATATACCTTTGTTGCAGACAAAAAATACTTAGTTTCAGAAGGTATCTCCTCCCGTCGTCGTAAGCAAATAATCATATACAGAAAGGTTAAGGCTTTTTGATTTTACCTCATTAAGTAATTGTTATCGGGTATCGGGTAATAATTGTTAATTTTGTAGTTTGATTTCATATAATGTCATTTTAATAGAACCTCAACGCTTTATAATAAACGTATCTATCTGCTAAAAAGCTAAAGTGTTTTCCCCTATAACTTCTTTATTTTTTCTAATAAAAAAACATAAATTATGATTGATTGACGTATTCAATTGTTTTCGGTCATTTCCTATTTCACCGGAAATTACTACAAACTTTTGATTTTTATATGGCACCCTCGGTATTTTTTTACTTTATTCGATAGAAAATGACACTCTGAATAGGATGACATATCATATGTCAATTTTTTCGCATATGGTATATATGGTATTAAAAATCATATTTTTAATCATATCTCAATTTTTTCAAATGGAATTTTTTGGACATCTTTTAGCAAGCCAGGACGCCAGCACAAGACACTGGCTAAAAATCTCGTTTTTTTTATCTGAAAAAATAAAAAAACTTTTATTTTAATGAATATATTGGTGAACTTAAATCTGCAAAAAGAACACACTGAACCTGATTTTTATGCATTAGAAACGGAATTGACGACACGAAATTTTTGACGGAAGAAGACATTCAAAAAAAAGACATTTATAGGTATTTTATTTGATTTTTTCGGATTTGTTTCACTTTTCTGAGTACTCCTTATGATATTTCTTTTTTTATAATTGGATTTATGTAAAGTGTACAAATTTGGAAAGACATTGTGTTGAGACTATAGTATCATTGTGAATCTAGAAACATCCTTCAAAATCAGTTACCTCTGCGACACTTTACCCCCAACTGTAAGTAAGTATATAAATTATATTAAAAATAGCAAACTAATCAATTACGAAATTAATATAGAATTAACTAATCAAGTTTTTATTCTTGAATTTTCGCATTTATACTTGTCATGAATGATAAGGTCAATGTGACATAGCGTTGTTTCAATAGCGTATCTACATTTATGTTATTAAATAATTATACTAAGTTAATTATTTTTATTACAAATCTCTAGCAAAATAAAACACTAAATCACCACTATACACTAGTTTAACCATGTTAGCATCATCAACAGATGATTAAATCTGAAGTTTTAATCATCTGCTGATGATGCTAATATTGTTAGCGAAACGCGCGTCCAGTGCAAAAGTAAAAGTGTTTTGGTGTATTGTGGTGATTTAGTGTTTTATTTTGCTATTGTAACACCAAAGGTTCCAACCCCCATCTGTAATCTACAAATCTCTATTTTTGATAATATTTAATGAATAAATCTAAAACAAATATAACAAATTATTGTTTCTAGTTTCTACCCAACTTTATATTTTAACATGTTCTAAATAATATATTAGAATGTCACTGATAAACCGAAATTTAAGTCAGCCATATTAAATCCCCATCGTGGTCGCTTTAATTTTGTTTATATGCTCCCTTCCTTGGACTTTTTATTCAATGTTAAAAAATATATCGTTTTTTATTTCAAAAATGCCAAATTGAAGAAAATGTTGTCATTGTTAATTCACAATGAATATTTGAAAACCAAAAAGTTCTTAATTCTGAGCGTTCATTGTACCTGCATTTTAGTCATTTCAATACTACTTAAGCCTATTAACGTAAATTGCTCTTATTATAGTCTTTATTATTTAAAATGCCCACGACAGAGATGTTTACGATAAGGTCGAGTTAAATTTAAAATTATTAGGAGGTAGTTTAGATCAATGAACTGCATGTCGTATAAAACAGGTGCCGTAGTTTTATGCTTTCATGAAATCTAATGCCGGAAAACGGAAATTTGGAATGACGAAACGTCGGTTAATCTACAGAACGTTTATAATATAAAGAAAATCTCAGACGTGCAAGTGTCGAAACCCAGTAGAAATAGAGATAATAGTATATTGTTTTATTAGGAGTAAAAATGATAATTTTTGTGGCGAGACTGTACGTTTGACTAACGTCTGACCTTGACTAACGTTTTGACGACATACAGGCGAGACACAAAAAGACATTTTTACTCCGAATAGCACATGCTATTTTTTTCAAGCGCGCGTCACAAATAATTTTTTAAACAATTTTAAACGTTCCAAATAATATAAAAATATTCAAAAGTAATACCTAGTACCTTGTATATATCGAGAAGCTATGGTAGAGTGAAGTTGGTTGGGTTGGGTTGGGTTGAATATGATACTGTCAGTTTAATAATATATTTTCGCACTTATACTTAGGCGTAAAAGTGCTTTACTTTTTTGCCTAGGCGTTAAAATGACTTTTTTGTATTGTCAATCACTAGGCAAAAACTAATACTTTTGTAACTTTAAAAAAAATATATATTGTTTTATTAGGAGTAAAAATGATTTTTTTGTGGCGATGCTGTAAGTTTGACATAGAGTTGCCAACTTTTAAAATAAAAAAATAAAGGATGAGAGGGTAAAAAAGAGACACAGGTGAAACATTTTTTGAAACCTCGCCCAAATGTCTAGAATTTACCAAAAAGTTGTCAATGGTAAGCCATTAACGGTGTTTCTTACTTTCTTAACAATATTTATACTCAATATTTGATAAAATAAAACAAACCTTTTTCAACAAAACTTTTTTTCACAACATGAGCCAACAATAAGTATACATAAAATAGTTAAACATGCTTATCGCTTCCGCAAATATTTCTTTTACATAAATATTTCTTCGACTTCTTTTCTGTATAAACGAGTGGGAGTAGCGAAAGACACAGATTAACAATTTTTTAAAGCATTGTGACGATACACAAATATTTTTTAGATTTTGAGTTTGGTATGTAAAAAAGAGGACTTTTTCAATACGCGAGAGAAGAGAGGACAGTGAGATCAAAAAGAGGACTGTCCTCTGGAATAGAGGACGGTTGGAAACCCTAGTTTGACGGACGAGCGTTAGCGAGCCACAAAAAGTCGTTTTTACTCCGAATAGAACATGCTATTTTTTTTCAAACGCCACAAATAAGTTTTTAAACAATTTCAAACATTCCAAATAATATAAAAATATTTAAAAGTAATACCTTGGACCTTGTATATCGGACCACCCTGTAGATCCGAACAGTATTCCGCAAACTTCGGCAGCATATTCTGCAGATAAAAATAGATAAAAAAGTTCGTATAAATGTATGTCCTAAAATTCTTAGTTTCAGAGATACAGGGTGTAGAAGTTTCATATTTATTTCGATTTTTTCCAAATAATTTCTGAAGTAAAGTCAATATTTCGATGAAAATTGGTATCTGCGAATTTTTTGACGTGAAAAAATTGATTTTGATGTCAACATGACTGCTGTTTGTAGGGAGCGCCACATACATGTGTTTTAGCTATTTTGAAGAGCAATAATTTTTCGTCCGTACCTGTATAAAATCAATGGATGAAAAAATATGCATTTCCGTGATTTTCTACTTAAAAAATGTCACGTGGAAAAAATCGCCACGAGCAACCGTTCTCAAGATATTTAGAATGGAAACAGTCAATAAATGTCATTATTGACAAAAAATAAACGTATGTCGAGTAGATAGTTATTTGACTGAAATGATAAATTTGGAAACTTTTATTTTTTTTTTAATTAATCATAAATTTTTCTTCGAAAAAATGATAATAAAACAGTTTCTGCTGAACTTTTGGCACAAAAACATTTCAAATTTATGATTTCGGTCTAACAACGATTTAGTCAACGTGTTTAATTTATGTCAATGACGACAGGTATTGGTAATCTCGATTCTAAATATCTCGAGAACCATTACTTGTAGCGATTTTTACCAAGAGACCTTTTCTACGTAAAAAACGTCGTAAATTTATATTTTTTTACTCAGTAGTTTTATACAGATACTGGCGAAAAGTTATTTACTCTTCAAACCAGTTAAAAATATGTAGGTGGCGCCCTCTTCAAGTAGGAGTCATATTGACATCAAAATCAAATTTCTTATGTCAAAAAACTCCCAGACATCAATTTTCATCCAAATATTGACGTTACTTCAAAAATTATTTGAAAAAAAAATCGAAATAAAATTGAAAATTCTACATTCTGTATATTGGAAACTAAGCATTTTAGAACATATATTTATACGAACTTTTTTATTTATTTTTATCTGCAAAATATGCTGCCAAAGTTTCCGGAATACAGTTCGGACCACCCTGTATATCGAGAAACTATGGTAGGGTTCGGTTGGGTTGGGTTGGTTTCAAAATGACCCTTTACGTCAGTTTAATAATATATTTTTGTACTTTTATGCTTAGGCGTAAAAGTGCTTTACTTTTATGCCTAGACGTTAAAATTACTTTTTTGTATTGTCAATCGCATCGCAAAAACTAATTAAATACTTTTGTGACGTTTGAAAAAAATACTTTTTTAGTAAAATAAATCATCCGGTA